ATACTTTTTTGATGAAAATAGAGCTAGACCGAAATGAATTTTGAGATGCTCTGTGAAATAAACTGTCAGTATTCCCCTGCCCGTCTGTGATCTTGTCGTGTGTTTCGGGCTCGCTCGCAAAATGTTCTTCTTGCGTTTTGATCTTCGTGTTTCTGCATTTCGTGCTTTGTGGGAGAACCTCAAGGTCTGACTTCAGGTTGGAAATTAGGAACAATTTCTTCTCCAAAAGAGCGGTAGTGTCCTGCACAGCTGCTGAGGGAGGTGGGAGAGTCATAGAATCATAGAATCACCAAGGTTGGAAAAGACCTCAAAGCTCACCCAGTCCAACCGTTCACCTATTCCCAACAGCTCCCACTAAACCACGTCCCTCAACACAGCATCCAGCCTTTCCTTGAACACCCCCAGGCTCGGTGACTCCACCACCTCCCTGGGCATCCATTGCAGTGCCTGACCACCCTTTCTGAAAAGCAATACATCCTCATGTTCAGCCTGAATCTCCCCTGCCATAGCTTGAAGCCATTCCCTCTGCTCCTATCACTGATGACACGAGAGCAGAGGCCGACCCCCAGCTCCCTGCAGCCTCCCTTCAGGAAGTTATAGAGAGCAATGAGGTCTCCCCTGAGCCTCCTCTTCTCCAGGCTGAACATTCCCAGCTCCTTCAGCCTCTCCTCATCAGCCCTGTGCTCCAGACCCCTCACCAGCTTTGTTGCCCTCCTTTGAACACGTTCCATGGCCTCAATGTCTTTCTTGCAGTGAGGGGCCCAAAACTGGACACAGCACTCGAGGTGCGGCCTCACCAGTGCTGAATACAGGGGAACAATCACCTCTCTGCTCCTGCTGCCAGCACTGTTTCTGATGCAAGCCAGGATGCCATTGGCCTTCTTGGCCACCTGGGCACACTGTGGGCTCATGTTCAGCCCAGCATCCATCCATACCCCCAGGTCCATTTCCTCTACGCCGTCCTCCAGCCACACCGCCCCAAGCCTGCAGCGTCGCCTGGGGTTGTTGTGGCTGAAGTGCAGGACCCGGCATTTGGCCTTGTTGAAACTCATCCCATTGGCTTCAGCCCAACTCTCCAGCCTGTCCAGGTCCCTCTGTAGGGCCTCGCTACCCCCAGGCAGATCCACACTTCCAGCCCATTTGGTGTCATCTGCGAATTTACTGAGGGTGCACTTGATGCCCTCAGGTGACTGACCCTGGAGGTGTCCCAGAACCATGGAAATGGGGCACTGAAGGATGGTCAGTGGGATGGGTAGGGTTGGGCTTGGGGACCTTGCAGGTCTTTTCCAACATTAATGATTCTATGACCAGAAGAAGGTTTGGAGATCCTCCTTTCTGAGGTCAGTGCTGCACCCTCTCTCCCATCCCCATTTTATCCAACAGCAGTTGACAAGCAGTCAGGTGGAGAGGGTGCGACTCTGCAGACCCAAGTCTGGAGTTACAACTGCCAAATAAATATTTGGTGCTTGTGGCCACGTGGGGACAATGATGCACCAGTATCACTGATCTGGCAGCAGTTTTAAGCCAAACAAATAGGAAGCAATTCATTTCTAATACACACTGTGCACGTCATTGCCCCAGGGTGCTATGAAGGCTGAAAAACATAAGCATGTTTGAAGAGGAATAATTGGCTCTTATGTCCATTAGCACTTATTAAACACAACAGTCTGGATGTAAGATCCAGCTTGAGAAGTCCCTGAGCAGTTCTTTGCTGAAAGTGTGTATTAAAAGAACGGCTTGCTTGGCATCTGCTCTATTTCTTATTCTTCAGACCAGGATCTGCTCCCAGCTGCAGACAGAGGGTGCTTTGGGTTAGCAGGGGATCTCGTCTGGGACAGCTTGGGATTCTTCTTTGTTAAGCAGCTGTTTTCTCCAGCTCATGAATGGCTGCATTAAGGGACAGATGAAAGGGATTAAAGAAAACATGGCTGTATCCCATTGGTTGGTGACGGATAGTCAGTACTGTGTCAAGGATTTGACTGGCTGAGGGAATACCATTTGAGTGTGAAAAACAAAACTGCCCTAAGGGGAAGAGGGAGAGCTCCTGATTTCCACAGCACCGAATAATCCATAACGGGAGGCTGTGATTGCTGCGCCCTTGGGAAAGACACTAAAAAGTTGAAGGGAGAGAAATAAGAGTCATGTAGCCTGTGTCTGTTATTCAAATAAAAGAGCTGAGAATTGGCTGCTGGCTGTAAGCCCAAAGGGTTTGGGACAGCCAACGTTGTGCTATTTAACTCTTTCTTCTCTAAAACTGCCCATAGAAGCTTAGTGGCACAGCTGTGATAGCTCTCATGGTACCTGGGAACCATGCCGGCGCAGTCATTTTATTGGCAGAGTTTCAGCCCTGTGGTCTGGGAGGTGATGCTGATGTGGCTGTATCATAGGTCTGCAGGAACCTGCCATCCAAAGCATCTCTTACATCCCTGCCAAAGCCTTCATATGATGCAGTGGCTCAGAGCTTGCAAAAAGTGGCATGGAAAATCCAGCTGTGCTATGAGTGACAGCAGTGACATGGGGCTGAAGGCTTGCTCTTGGTGCGAGGCAACATCTGCTTGGCTGGACCAAGCAGGGAGTGACCGTGGTTGGGTTGGAAGGTCCTGGAAGGTTATAGAGGTATAGAATGGTTTGGGTTAGAAAGGTCCTGGAAGGTCACGGAAGCATGGAATGGTTGGGTTGGAAGGTCCTGGAAGGTTATAGAGAAACCATTTGTTTTTCCTCCTAAGCTTCTTGTGTTTTTTTCCCTCCCCTCTTCCTGGAATCTGTTTCTGTTCCAGTCTGTCCTCCTCGTCTTCTTCATTCTTCTGCTTTGGTCTCTTTTTCTGGATGCCAGTGACTGTCTTTCACTGCCACTAAGTGGATGAGGGTAGGAAGAGTCTCCTGACTCTCTGTAGCCAGATGAAAGCCCTGGGCATTGCTGCCAGGAGCATGCAGACTGCAGTCCTGGGTAGGATGCACTTCCATCCATTGGGTGTGTAATGGCGAGACCAATGGGTACAACCCATACCTGAACCAAGGTTCAGGTTGGATATTTGAGACAATTTCTTCTCCAAAGAGCAGTCAGGCACTGGAATGGGCTGCCCAGGGACTGCGGTGGGTCACCATCCCTGGAGGTGCTCCAGAACCAAGGGGATGTGGCACCAAGGGATGTGGGCAGTGGGCATGGTGGGCTGCAGTTGAGTTGGGGTTGGGGATCTGAATGGTCTTTTCCAACCTTCTTGATTCTTTGATGCTGTGCTCAGGTCCTAGTGATCACTCTCCCTATGACCTCCATCACCTGATTTATCCAAAGCTCTCTTTCCTTTCCTCTTTTCTACTTGATTTCTTTTTACCTTAACTGCACCCCTTCCCCTTCCTATTTCTTTCTCCTTCTGACACAATTACTCTGCTATTCATTTCAGTCCTCATTCACAGAGAGTTTTTTTTCCACAGTTCCTGTTACAAACATTTATTTCCCTTTTGCATCTTGTTAATGCATGTGGTCTTGTGCCTGTAGACCACATGCCATGGGTTGATTATCTTTCATGTGAAAAAAATATTTTACAGTGGAATAAGGCACCCAGCTCACTGCTTCTGGTGTCTGCATCTACCCTGGGAGGAGACCCAGAGCACTGGGAGGAGACCCAGGGCACTGGGAGCAAATGAGAGGATGAACTCTTGCCCCTGCACAGTGTTCTTCCTCCAATGCTGCCTATTAGGCACCCCAATGTCCTTTTCCAGACCTCTGGGGTATTTAATGCCCTCAGTTTCATGCAATTTGACCATAAACATGGGCTGTACCCCAGCCTTCACGCAGTGACAGCCCTGCTGGGACACGGTGACATCACAGGAACAGATCCAGGGTTAAGCACAGTACAGGTTGCCTGTGAAAATGTGCTCATAGATGGCCTGGCACGAACACAGGGTCAGCTGCAACCCAGAAAATCTTCCCTTCACAGTCATTTGGTGCATTTGTAACAACTTACCAACAGGCTGCACGCCTCGCTGGAAGCTGGGGTTTGCTTTCGGGTTGGTTGGCAAGGTGTCAATAGCTTTGAAACTTCAGTGAAGGGTTTCCTGTACTCAGGAGATCTGTTTGTCCCAAAGGGAAGGATCGGTGCTGCGCTGCTCATTGTCCTGATGACCCTCTCCACCCACCCATCCTGGATGGAGCCCAGCAGAGCCAACTCAACTGGGGATGGAAGGTCCTAAGACCAAATTCCCCAGCCCTCTGAGCCCACGGCAGAGGCTGGGAAACCACAGTCCTTTCCAGGTCGCTGCCAATTCATATGCAAATGTTGGCAATGAGCTGGATGCCAGCTTGTGCCCTGCATCCCCACTGATGGGAGAGGAGCAGAAGGGATCCAGCTGGAAAACACAGTGGTGGTGCTCCAAGGAAAGACGACTTTACTGAGATAGCAACAGGCAGGGTTGGTCGTTCTTTGCATTTCTGCTTAGAATGAAATAATACAAAGTGATGCTGGACAAGGGAATGGGCTGCATTTCATCAAGGGTTTTGGCAATCTTGAGGCTGCTGGTTACTTCATGGATCCAACTCAGGGCTGCTTTGTTCCCTACTATGAGCTTCAGCCAGCAGGGGATTGAGTTGGAAGGGAGGCTGCTGAGAGCCACATGGGGCAAACCTTCCTGTCTGTCCTTGTGGATCTAATTACCTAATTATCACGCATTAACGAGGGGCACCGTGTCTTCTGCCTGACCCAATCTATCTGTGTTACGGGTGCCTATTTTGCTCGCAGAGCTGTATTTTATTTATTGGATTTAGTGTGGTTTCCAGCGAGCTGGAGTCTCTATCAAATAAATTATTCCACTTGGACCCCAATTTGCTCTCCAGATGGCTCATCCCTCATAAGCTGTCCTGGTGTGCTCTGTTTTCCCCCGATCCTCGGTGAGTTTCCCCTAGCTCCTCCCAGACTGGCTGTTATTGACAGCTGCATGGCTAATGCCCTGTAGCGGAGAAACAAAAGCAGATTTCTCCCCCACCTCTTCAGCAGAGAGCATAAAGGCGATGCTTTTGTGCTTCCCCAAGCATTGCCAGAGACAGGCTGAGCGTGCTTAGTGAAGGGGACTCATCTCTGCACAGAGCCCCAGTGTGGATGGGAGATCTCCGCGAGGGAGGCTGTGTTCATTAGGTCCCACCTGGAGGACTCAACCTTCGGGCCAGGTAATGTTGAGATTCTTGTGCTAACAGCTGGGAGACTTCTCCCTACAAATACAGAGTTTAGCAGTATTGGGATGGAGGGAGTGATGCAGAAAGGAGTGTGTGTGGGTAAGGGCAATGGGAGAATCCCACTCTCTTCTCAGAGTTGGTATCATGGGTAGATGAGCAGGGGTGTGAGCTGGGGAAAGAACTTTGGGTTTATCCAGGGGAGGTCTCTCTTTGTAAGCTTACTGTCACCAGGGGTTTGGGCATTCACATAGATCAGGGTGAGAAATGATGAAATGGGAACGTTTGTCTTCTTTGGCTGGAGCTGCGTGTGCCAGCAAAACGCAGAGTTCACCATGCTGCCTTTGTTGTAACTTCTCTAAATCACTTTGAGCTGACAGCATTCCCCTTCTGCAGCCTGAGCACTTCTCAGTGCTATTTGGGATGTCTGGAGCCTCCACCCTTTCCCCCAGGGTTGCTTAGGGATTTATGTAGGGCTCTTTGCTCCGCCTCACTGCTCCTCAGGTCTCTGCAATACCCCCATGGCAGGAGTAGGATTGCCCTCACTGGCATCCCACCTGAATGCTTGGTGCTGTGCTCTTAAAAAAGAACTGTTGGCATTGCAATGCCTCTTATTTAACACTCAGCTGATAGAGCAGTTGGGCAAGCAGGGGGAGACCTAAGTTCAGTTCCTCCCAGGACTTGTGTCTGTGCAGCAGCAACTGGTTGGGATGGGTTCTTGGGAAGAAGTGGTGCACCATGGATGGTTTGAATTTGGCTGGGTGGGGAAATTAGCTTAACGGGAGCTTTGAGATGTTAAAAAGAAAGAAAACAGTGTGTAAGTTGTTAATAAAGCACAGCTTGGGTAAGGCAACTGTCTTATAAAGAATCATCTAAAAGCAGAAGAGTTTGGTATGCCAGGATGGGATTGCGTTGGGAATATCCTAGAGGCCACATCTGGGTTTTGTTTTTGAGAAAATGTTGGTTATGGAGGATGAGCTCCTCTGGATGAGGGTAAAATCTGTCTAAGATGTTGGCTGGAATCTGTACTGCCTGATGTCATCAAGAAAGATACAGAAATCACAGTGCTGTTGGACGCTGTGGTCAGATATTTTAATTAACGTTCTGATCTGTCATCTCAATCACTGCTTCCCAGCCAGGATGCATCGAATGATGAAAGAAGAATCAAGCTACAGGACAAGCAGCCTGGAAAATGCAACGCGCGACACGAGCAAAGAGCAGCTGCATGTGAAGCTCTGCAATGGGTCCTGCCATGCTGAGCAAATCCTACAGACACTGAACGCCTACCGGCGTGGTGGCATCTTCACAGATGTGGTGTTGTTAATTGATGGACAAGAATTCCCCTGCCACCGTGCAACTTTGTCAGCCAACAGCACTTATTTCCGGGCGATGTTTGGTGGCAATCTCAAGGAAAGCCATCAGAATATCATCAACATCCAGAAGATTTCTGCTTCCACCATGTCTCTCCTTCTTGACTATATGTATGGGGGGAACATTGTCATTCAGGAAGACAATGTTGAAGGCATCTTGGAACTGTCTGACTTGCTGCAGATCTCCAAGCTTAGGGATGCTTGTATCAGCTTTCTTGAAGGCCAGCTTCACCCCTGCAATTGTTTAGGCATCATGAAGTTTGCCGATTCGTTCTCCATCACTTCCCTGACAGAAAAAAGCAAGAGGTTCATGCTGGAGTGTTTCGTGGAGGTGTCGTGCCATGAAGAGTTCCTAGAGATGGGTGTGAAGGAACTGGTTGAGTATTTGTCTGATGAGCAGCTGGTGGTTCCCAAGGAGGAGGTGGTCTTTGAAGCAGTCATGCGCTGGGTACGACACGACGTACCTGCCCGGAAAGGAGCCTTGAAGGATCTCCTTGAGCATGTACGTCTGCCACTGCTCAACCCCACCTACTTCCTGGAGAAGGTGGAAATGGATGGGCTCATCCAGGACTCAAAGGAGTGCATCCCTCTGCTGCACGAAGCCCGCAAGTATTACATCCTTGGGAATGAGGTCAGCTCTTTGAGATCGAGGCCCAGAAGGTAAAACGCAATGTCATCTTCCCTAGACCTGCATGGTCCAAGTTCTTGTATCTTAAAGCTTGGATGGTGTTCTTTGATTCTTATCAGAGTAACGTGAAGGTTGGAAAAGTCCTCCAAGATAATCTAGCCCAACCATCAGCCCATCCTCACCGTGCCCACTAAACCATTGCGACTCGTAGTAACAGTTCTAAACAATTTTATTATTTATAATAACCATTTTAAACTAAAAGGGGGATTTATGTCAGATACAAGGAGGAAATTTGGAAAGGGTCCAGAGGAGGGCGACTGAGATGATCAGGGGGCTGGAGCACCTCCCCTATGAGGACAGGCTGAGGGAGTTGGGCTTGTTCAGCCTGGAGAAGAGAAGCTGCGGGGTGACCTCAGTGCAGCCTATCAATACCTGAAGGGAACCTACAGCCAGGAGGGGAGTAAACTCTTCAAAAGGGCTGACAACAGCAGGACGAGGGGAAATGGATCCAAGTTGAGGGAGGGAAGATTTAGGTTGGATGTTAGGGGGAAGTTCTTCACAAGGAGAGTGGTTGGGACCTGGAACGGGCTGCCCAGGGAGGTTGTGGATGCCCCGTCCTTGGCCGTGTTCAAGGCCAGGTTGGACGGGGTCCTGGGCAACCTGATCTGAATGTGGATGTTTGGTGGCCCTGCTGGGCAGGGGGGTTGGAACTACATGATCCTTGAGGTCCCTTCCAACCCGGGTGATTCTGTGATTCTGTGAAATTACTTCCCCAGAGCTGGTGAGGCCCCAGCACTGTTGCCCAAAGCTGTGGTGCTCAATCCCTGGAGGTGTCCAAGGCCATCGATGGGAGCCCTGAGCAACTTCATCTGGTGGCAGACACCCAGCCCATGGCAGGGGTTGGGGTTGAGTGGGCTTTAAGGTCTTTTCCAATCCAACCATTCTATGATTACTTTTTTTTTTGTCTTTTACTTCACTTTAGCCTTCTAGCTATCAGCATGCTGCCTAGCTCAAAGGCATAGCTGCTGGGACAGTAATTAATGTTCAGGAAAAAAAGGGAGTTGCAGTCCAAGTAGCTACCTAGGCACCCCAAATTCTTTCTTTTGTACCTGCGATTTATTGATTGACACGAAGATAAAGAAGTTCCAACCCAGGCAGCTAGCAGAATGAAATGGAAAATACAAAGGAAAACCAATTTCTGGGGGTGGGTATGCATGGGAATATGCACCTTTCTGTGATTTTGACATATGGATTTTCTAGACTTAGACAGACATATTGTAAGCCTCTGTTACTCCTTCATGGTGATGCTGGTACATTCAGCACGTGCTTGGTAAGCACTCCAATGAACAACTCCATTGAGAGCACCTCTGCTCTAGGATGGGTTGCTGTATCAAGCCAGGTGGTTTGTAAGGCTTTCTGTGCTTCTCTAGAGGAGAATGATGGCTGTGGGGACAAATTCTTGTGTTCTTCTGCACTTTCGACCATGGAATCCAGCTTACTTTTGCCTCTTAGTGGAGCAGCTTGGGTAGAAGAATGGGGATGTGGAATCGTTGAATAGTTAAGGTTGGGAAGACCACTGCAGTCATCTAGTCCAGCCATCAGCCCATGCCTGTGACTGCTCTAAACCACGTTGCATGACATGAGCCTGTTTGGTTTTTTGGGTTTTTTTTTAAACCTCCAGGGATGGTTTAAGCCCTTTCAGTCTGATGTGAGGCTTGGACTTGTTTTCTCTGTGCTGATTGTGACAACAGGCTGCTACACAAATAACTGCTCAATAGCAGTCTGTGGTGCCCTCTCCAAGTGCACAGATTAAATTCACTGGGAATAAATCCCACTCCCAGCATTCCCATTTTAACTCCCCTTCTTTTACAGTTTAGGTCTAAAGTGAACTCTCAGGCTGCACAAATGGAGAAAGAGCTGGGGATGGTACCAAGCCTTTCAAATCCCATTCTTCCCTCTTCCTTCCTCTCCTCTCTCCTCCTGCAGGGCTGCTCCTCTCTTGCCACCTACTTCTTGGCAAGACTTTCCTGCCCAGCCGTCTGTCTCGTCTGCTCTCTGCTGTTAGGGCTGGAGAGAATGAGATTTCCTGGAAACGCTTCTCTCTCCAGGCAGAGAGCATGTTGCAGGCTGGCTGCCAGGAGCAGCTTTCCATGCTTGCAGCCGTGTTAGGCTTTATTGTGCAGGAAGGGACAGGGTGAGGGGCAGTAGGCAATCTCACAAAGGACTTCCAAAGGTCGCTCTCAATTTTCTTTCCCTACAAAGTTTGGACCCTTTCCCACTCAAGCTGAGAGATTTGAATGGGCAGATAAGAAGGAAGGTGCATGGGCAAAATGATTTGCCTAGAAAACTGGTAGTTGGTGACAGAAAGGAGCTTTTCCTACCTGCTGGGATGTGCTGCCAGTATCCTAAATGGGACTGGGACTTAGGGACTTACCCATGCCTTTTATGGTCTAGGTTCATGGAGCTGGCAGAAGTTATCATCATCATTGGGGGCTGTGATAAGAAAGGCCTTCTGAAGCTGCCCTTCACTGATCTCTATCACCCAAAGAGCAGGCAGTGGACGGCCCTCTCCAGTGTGCCTGGCTACACCAAGTCAGAGTTTGCTGCTTGCACGCTGAAGAATGATGTCTACATATCAGGTGAGGTGTCCTGGGACAGCTGTAGTCCCCACCTGGAGCTCAGTTCAGAGAGCTGCTCCTGGGGTCGATTCACTGGGACTCATTGACGTGCATCTCAGCTCCAGAACAAAGTCACTTCTTGGTGAAGTTTACCCTGGATTTTGTTGTCCCAAGAAACGCTTTTAGCCTTCTGGGGAAGATGGCACTTTTGGAAAAACTTTCCTTCTTGCTTATCTGGGTTTCCATCCTCTTGCAGTGGAGTGAGTTGGTTTTGATGTGCACTTCCAGGGTTTCCTATCACATCACCATCTGCCCATCCTTGATTTAAAATACAAAGCCTATAGAAGAGCTCCTTAGAAGGGATGGAGTTGTGTAATAAGTGCCTTGAAATTCAGAGGGCATCATCCTTGGGAAGCTGAGTTTACGTGAGAGTAACCCAACAGCCACATTCTGGCCTAGGTTGTTCTGCTGCATGGAGGACCCATACAAAATAGCAGTGTGCCAGGGTGATGGGTCTGTCTGAGATTGTGCCAGCCCTCCATTCCTCTGTTTTTAAGGGGGACACATCAGCAGCAATGATGTTTGGGTGCTGAGCTCCCAGCTGAATGTCTGGATCAAGGTTGCTTGTCTGCAGAAAGGCCGATGGAGGCACAAAATGGCAACGCTTCAGGGCAAGGTAGGTTTTGAAACAAGCCCATTTGGAACAGTCTTCCCTTTTTCCCAATTCCCAGTGCAATGAGACATTGTCAGAGCTTGTTTGTTATCTCAGTCATTTAGATACCAGGACATAATCATGTTACTATTAGCTCTGGCTAATGTTTTTTTTTGCTGCCTGAATATGAACCTGCATCAAAGATCTATCATGGGGTGCCGAGAGACTTCTGCAAGATGACTGTGTTGAGGCTTTGGGTGAAAACTATGCAGTGTAGGGTGTTTCAAACCCTGACATATGATGGATTTAACAAGAGAACATCACTGTGGCTGGACAAGTGTCAGCTCTAGTACTCTGTGATAGTGTATAGCCCTGCTGGTGAGTACAGGAGATTCTCACTGGTTTGCTTTGCTCTTTCTGGGGCAGATCTACGCTGTGGGAGGTTTTGATGGTTTCTACCGCCTCTCCAGTGTGGAGTGCTATGACACCTTCTCCAACAGCTGGTCCACCTTGGCTCCACTGCCACAAGCAGTGAGCTCGGCAGCCGTGGTCTCCTGCCTGAACAAGCTCTACGTGCTGGGTGGTGCTGTGGATGACACTGCTAACACTGACAAGGTATGGGTGGTGCAAGGGGGTGAGGATGGCTGGGAGGTGGAAACACGACTAAGAGATGCAAAATAAGCCCGTGGGAAGTTTCAGCTCAGCTTTGGTCTGCTTTCAGGTACTGTGCTTCAATGGAAAGGATCACAGAAAGGCCAGCAAGGAACATGAAGAATAGGAGACTTAAAATATATATTATAATAATAATGGTTTTACCAAGGAAGGTGATGCCTGAGCTGCACTGAGAGCAGACAGGGGCTCCCAGCTCAATACCAGAATATGTAACCATGTACTGTGTTGATTAGGACCAGCTGGTAATCTGTCTGTGAGAGCTGAAGGCATAGACCCTCAAAAGAATTGCCCATGACCCCAGCCAGCTGATGAAGGAATGTCCCTTTGATCATTGCACTGGCCTATGAGTGTTGAAGTTCCCATCTCTGTTTCTGGACCAATTTTCTTTTATTTCTAGTGGATATTATCTCCATCCAAGCAAAGAGATGAGATAAATTTATGTTCCCATAGCTGCGTTTCTCCTTCCAGGTCCAATGCTATGATCCAGAAGACAACAAGTGGACTCTCTTGTCTCCCACTCCTTTCTACCAGAGGTGCATCAGTGCCGTCTGTTTGGACAACATCATTTATGTTGTAGGTGGGCTCCTCAGTAAAATCTTCAGCTATGATCCAAGGAAAGACAGCTGGCGAGAAGTGGCTGCCCTCCCTGGCCCTCTGGTAAGAGAAAGACTTAGGAATCCTAGAATTGTTAAGGAGGGAAAGGCCAATAAGGTCACAAGGTCATCCAGTTCCAACCATCAACCCATACCTATGACCACTCCAGGCCATGTCACCCAGTGTGACATCTGCCCTTCCCTTGAACACCTCCAGGGACTCCACCACCTCTCTGGACAGCCTGCTTCAGTGCCTGTGAAGAAATTTTCCCTAATATTCATATAAGAACTTTTCCTAATATGAGGAGAGAAGCTCTGAGCCTTCTCTCTCCATGGAATAAAGGTACCCATCTGCATTTTGCTGAGATTAAATGTGAAGGAAGTATACTGGGGAGCTGACATTTGGCTTGAGGTTCTTCAAGTGCCTGTAACAATAAAACCGAAGTACCTCAAGAGCCGTACCCTACTCATCCTGCTTATTTCCCCCATGCAGGACAGGTGAGGGCTGAGCCCATAGCAGTCATGCACTCCTGCTCAATCCCACCGCCCAAAGCTGTGGGGCCATCCTTCATCTTTCAGCCTTTCCTTCTGCTTTCCAGGAGAGCTGCGGCCTGACGGTGTGCGGAGGGAAGATTTACATCCTGGGTGGCCGAGATGAGAATGGAGAAGGCACAGACAAAGCATTCACTTTTGACCCTGTAACGGGGAGCGTGGAGCAGCAGCCCCCGCTGCAGCGCTGTACCAGCTACCATGGCTGTGTCACCATCCTGCAGCACATGAACAGATGACGGTGGGGCTTTGGCAGCACCTTTCTCCTATCCAGATCCTCCCCTTGAGTCAGTGGCTACATTTGTGGACAGACAGCAGTCTCTCTGCGGGGAAGGGCAACATAAGGCACTGAAGATGTGCTCCCACCAGGCCCTGATCAACCTGTGTTTTGGTTTGTTTGTTTTTTTTCCAGGTCTGATGATGCCAATGGTTTTGACGCTGAGAGGTGAGAGGATGAAAGTGCTGGGCTGTATGAAAACTGCATTGCAGACCTTGCCACCTCCAGATTTAAGCAGGGTTGCGACCCCTGGAACTGCTGAGTTTGACTTCTTTTAGGTTTCCCTGAATCGTAGAATGGTTTGAGTTGAAAGGAACCCCTGAAGGCCATCTGGTCCCACCACCTGCAATGAACGGGGGCACCCACAGCTCCATCAGCGCTCAGAGCCCTGTCCTCACTGCCCGTATTGTAAAATAACTTATTCTTACATCTTACAACTTATTCTTACATGGATGTAGATCATGATTTTCTGTACTGTTGGTACAAGGGCAATTATTTGCTTCTGTCTGACACCCAGGGCTGTTACAGACACAATTACATTTACAGGATCCAATTCTTCAGCTCTCAGATATCGATGCATTTAGCTCCATAGAGCCCTGTGTCAACCCATGCTTGCCCAAACAGTCGTTGATGCCCGTGAGCAGTTAGTTCTACTACAGTGGACAGCTGAGTTTGAGATCTCAGCTGATATCCCAGGAAAACTTCTCTGCTAAATCCCTGAAAGCTTGGTTAAATAGGCCACACTCTGAGTCCATTCTGCATATACTGCAGGGTCTATCTCCTGAAAGCACAGGGCACTGTCTCTTCTATGTGTTTCAAGATTAGTCTCGCTGAGACTTTGTCACTGAGGAGAAAGTGAATCATGTAGCCAAGAGGTGGTTCTTCAGAGAGCAGTGGGAGGCAAGTTAGAATGTGTAGAAGTTTTGTTTTTTTTTTAATTAAAAAACAAAAACCAACATCCTGAAGTGTGATACCCACAGAACTGCATCTGGCTCCTTTTGGCTTTGAAGGATGCTGACAACTAGGGAAATAAACTCAATATTCAACAGATTTGACAGAGTGCCTCTGGGAGCCTAATGTGCAGCTTGTCTCAGGGCACATCTTCAGTAGCACCACCTGTGCTGCTCCAGGGTTTTGACCTCAGGTCCGGAAGTGAACCTGTTTGATTTAGTAGAGTAGCCATAGCCTGTGGTATGTCTTAGTCCATGGCTGGAACTGATATTTTCTGATGAGTCTGTGTATCACAGAATGGCCTGGGCTGCAGAGGAGCACAGCGCTCATCCAGCTCCAAGCCCTGCTGTGTGCAGGTCGCCAACCAGCAGCCCAGGCTGCCCAGAGCCACATCCAGCCTGGCCTTGAATGCCTGCAGGGATGGGGTATCCACAGCCTCCTTGGGCAACCTGTTCCAATGCTTCACCACCCTCAGTGCAGGCATTCATGTTGTTCAATTAGGTCCTGAAGTGTTACCAAATGTAGGGTGGGATCTCTTAAAAATGCTCATTATTTATACATTCACCTCTCTGCACCTCGCTTTCCTCTTTCCACTGATGACCTCTTCCTGAAGTAGATGAGAATCCTGCTGTTGGCCCAGATTCTCCTCTTTTCAGAATCTTCTAATGATCTTAAGCCGCCTCTTATTGCCTCCCTCCCCCATATGGATGGATTTTCTTTGGTGCTCTTTAATATCTCTGTCTTCTGTGAGTGCTGAGATGTTCACCTCTTCTTCGTGATGTTATCAGGATGACCTGAAAAACATGGCAAGAAGTTCCTGCTGAAGACCCCAAATTGGCTGTTAGCTAGATGTGCTGTTCTCTCCTTTTCATTAGGAAACCTGTGCTTTTCCATTGTTGGAGCAGTGTGTTTCCTTGCACAAAATGTACCAAATGCTGCTTATAATCTGAAAGGCCTTGGTGGCCATTTTGTTTATGAAGGCACACTATGCATTCTCAGCCTCAAATTTTCCTGAGGGCCTGTGCACAGTATGATGTGTCCTTCAAGCAATATAAAGGAGATGTAATGGTGGCAAAGGTTACTTGAAGTTTTTAAGAGACATGTGGATGTTTAAGAAGATGGTGTAGAGGTGGGCTTGCAGTGGTGGTTGGATGGTTGGGCCTTGGGGATCTTGAAGGTCTTTCCAACCTAAATGATTCTATGATTCCTCCAAGGAGAGAAGACAAAATCCAAGCTGGCAAAGGGCAATTTAATTTGCAATCAAATTGCATCCACAGTTATGTTTATAATGCAAATGGTCACTTCAGAAGAAACTGTCACTTTTCATTGGTATAAATTAAATTAGTGTGGAAGAAAGTATAAAGTATCAACTCATGTTATGGCAGACTTCATGAACAGAGAGCCCTTTGTTCTCCTGTAGCCTAGTGTTCTGAGGACCACAGATCGCAGCCCATCTCCCCATAGAAATAAAAAAAAAGCTCTTACTGTTCCCTGTGCCTCCAGCATTTCAGTCTTTTGGACATCTCTGATTTACCCTCATCTTGTGTCTGGTTGAAGAGGTTCTCAATTCTCCGAAGGGCTGGCTGTACTTGGGAAACCACTGAGGATGCTTCAAGAAAAACAGAGCACCCCAACCTTGCAAAAGCATTGAGTGTCATGGCTTTTTGTGTTCTGTAGCTATGTTTGGGGGGGAACCAATGTGGTGGCATAAACGTTTGGACTTTTCCTAGTCTTACAATGGGTTTTCTCTTTAAGCATCTGACATGAAAGCTGTGCTAAAGAGGATTCAGGATGTGGGGTGGTGGTTGGTTTGGTTTGGTTTGGTTGTGGATGCTATTTTTGTTTGGGTTTTTTCTTAAGTGGAAATTTTCAGGAATTTGTGGTTTCACACCAATAAAGTTCAGTGAGGAAAACCTTAACGCCGCTGTTCTTCTTGCACGTTCTTTCTACAGTCTTCCCTGATCTCCCTCATTCTTCTAGGAGTCTCTTGCTGTACTTCACCCCTTAGTCCTGTAGAAATGAGCTCTCTCAGAAGAGTAGACCTTCTGGTCAGTTTTCCCATGTGCTTTTGACATGTGTGGTGTGTTGCAGCAGTAACACGTGGTGAACGTTGTGGTGTAGGTACTAAACCATTTGCCTTGTTCTTGGTTGTGATATTCATATTGCTGCTGAAATGTGTTTGTATTTTGTAAGGGCTCTGAACTGTGGGCATGCAGGGGAGGGAGAGGGAATAAATTTTACTTGTTTTTCTCAGAAATAAATGTTTTTCTTGACTCCAAGGTGATTTTGCTGCAGGAATTTCATTTGTGAATATTACTTGAAATATTACCTGAAATCTTTGTGTTTCACTTCGCTCTTTTTGATTTTCCTGCTGCTTGTCTCAGCAGTTGTATTATTTTGGGTATATTTATATCTTGGAGGGGAGCCAGAGGGAAGAAAAAGGTTTTGTGAACAAATTGCATGGATGATATAGGCAAGAAGATCTGCAGGAACTGATAGCATTTGTCCATAACACACATGGGCAGAAGAATAAGAAGAAGACGACAGAGGCTGGACTGTTTAGTAGCCTTGGATACCTCATTTTTAAAAAAAATGCCTTTTTCATAAAGGCAAATGAGTTGTGATGCAACTGGGCAAGGATACCACTGAGATCTAGAGAAGAATCCTGTGGGTTAGTGTTTGGAGAGGAATAGGGTGATGAGAGTTGACCTCCATTGTGATGCTGTTGAACAGAAACATGGTATTGGGGTGACATGGAGGGCTTCGATGCCTCACTGCTGTCATTGTGATACAGAAGAGACTGTGGAAGCAGATCCAGAGTTTGCACTTCATGGATCCTGTGAAAATCTGAGGGGCAGAAGAGCCACCAAAATTATGCACGAGTGAGATGAGGATCATAGCGTGCTCAGCATGTGATATTTAGGAGGAAGGAGGCATGGAAATAAGTCTTTTGGAGTCTTGATGTCCTCACTGTAATATAAGCTTAATCCCCAAAATTGCTGGATCCTTCAGTTCTCCAGAGAGCAAAACTCATCTGTGGAAAGATCAAACCATATACATCTGACCATGGGCTTATATAGCTGAGCTGAAGTTCATAACCCTCAGCTGCCATCTGTTAGAAAGTCAGATGCCCTCAAAAACATGAACCGGAGCCTCCTCCAAAATCTCCATTGAAACTCTAAAGAGTGGGTTAAACTTAAATGGGTCTTGGAGAAGATGAGCAGCCCATTGGAACTGCCTTTCACTCCTGGTGGACTTGAGTCCTTGATGACTGCTCCAAAGCAGATAAGGTTGATAAGACTTCCCTTGGGAGGGGAAGTCTCTCTTCCACAAACCAAGGAGAAACCAGCTTTGAGGCTGCCATTGACTTGCCAACTGCCCGTGGCACCATCGGTGGCCAAAGAAACCATTTCATACAATGGCTTGGAACAGATCTCAAAGTCCATCAAGTTCCAACCTTCAAACTCTATTCTTCCTCTCTCTCCCCATGCTGCCCTTACACCTCTCTCAAGCCCAAACTTTCCTTCCCATTTTTGGCTTGTGACGCACAGACTTGACCTCCAGAGCAATCTTCCTTATCCCATGTCATTCCCTTGTCCCAGGATGTTCTACTGAATCCTGTTCCTCCTTGTCCTACCACATAAGGCCTGATGCATTTGATCTCCCTAACAAATCCAGATTACTTTTGCTTATGGTAATTGTTGTTCAGCTCCGTGTTTTCAAAACAAACACCCCTCCCAGCATGAAAACAGCAGGGTATCACAATGCCCCTGGAGATGTTGAAGCTGTCTTTGCATTTAGCTTTCTGGCTGGCAGGAGATGATAACATTGAGGGCAGGGGAACAATGCTCAGGGGTGCAAGCCCCATCTGAAAGGATGAGCTCGTGCTGATTAACTCAGATTAAGGGCCACAATAGCCAGCTGGGAACTGGTGGGCAGAGATAATAGCAGTATCAGTGGCTGTCTCTCTAGCTTTAAATTTCCCTGTATGACAGAGAGGAGGGGAGGAACTGTATCAGATTCACTGCAAGATTACTGATGTGACTAGACTTGTTTCCCATTAAATGTAAATAATGGTAAGAGCAGCAAGATCATTCAGACCTCTGCAGGCCCACTTCATGTGGAAGAAAGTGTTTGCCAGTTTGCAGTGACAAGGGTTGTATCCTGATTGTAGGTCTCATTTCCACACCACAGCTCTTCAGGGATGCAATTGAGTTTTGTGTTTAGGCACAGCACAGGTTGTCCAGCTGTTGGACTTCAAGCATTGGTTCCCATCTGCTGCTTCTCACACGTGGCTCAGCTGAGAGAGCTTGTGTCTGAATGCAAAGAGAGAATTCCCTTGCCTGTATTGAGCAGCAGCAGATATTTCTTGGTCTATATATTGTTTTCCAGCCTGTGGTCCACATGTTATCAGAAGACTGACTGAGAATTGTTGCAAAGAAAAGGAAAAAGTGATAGTCCTAGGCATGCAAAGATCAGACAAAACCAAGTGGCCTAAAGGTCCTAAGCACCACAAATTGAACTGAAAACTTATTTATTTGAAAAAAAAAAAGCAGCTACACTGGGAACCTAGGCCCTCTGTAAGTTTTATGCTTTCAGAGTATTTCCTTTTCTGATTTATATGTGTCTCAAATTAACGAGAAGAATAAAAAATGCTGATACAGCAATTTAGGAATTAATTAAAATCTTAAGATTACACCTGAAGAAATAAAAGAGAAGAGGACAGCTTTCTCTGAGGAGCGTGAAGGACTCTGTGCTTTGTTACAGGGTGATCAGTTAATGCATGAAGCACAAGTATTGCTGGGAGAAGGGCACCTGAAAATGCACCCACAACAGCTGGAGCACTGGTGAGAGAGGTACGAAGGTGACATCTTGATCAACCAGGCACCTTGGAGATTGAGTGGTGGGGCAATGTTTGCTCCAATTTCAGAGAGATAGAGATCTAAGTACATGGAATTCGTTTTGCATCAGTCAGTCACAAAATCATAGAAATGGTCTGAGTTGGAAGGGACCTCTGAAGGTCATCTCGTCCAAATCCCCATGAAAGTCATGACAGAATGACTGAGAAGTTGTGCTCAGGGAAGCTGTGGATGCCCAATAACTGAAAACCAGGTTGGACAGGGCTCTGGGTGACCTGATCTGGTGAGTGGCAACCAGCCCACGGAAGGGGGTTGGAATGGGATGATGTTTAAGGTTCCTTTCAACCCAAGACACTCTGTGATGACTGAGACATGAACACTCATTCAGCCCCAGAGAGCCCGAAAGAGTTGGAAATTTGCATCTTAGGAGACTTGTCGTGAGCAAATTACCTCCAAATACCATTGGCTGCAAAGGAGTGGTTGGAGCCTAAAGCAGGAGGGTTGCATCTGGATGATCTTAGAGGTCCCTTCCAACACAAACCATTCTAAGATTCGGAGTTGGGGTTGTCCCCAGGGCCCATGCCATACAGAGGGCACCCAGTGCTCTGCGTGGGAAATTTGGCTGGGCCCCATCCAGCCTAAGCTGGTGAAGTGTTGGTCATTGACAGTCTATGCTGGGACTCCCATTGGTTCCCATTAATCTCTGCAGAAAGAAAGATTCAGAGACATGCTTGGGCTGTGGCCAGCAGCTTTTGTGCTGCATTGGTGAGAGGGCCTGTTCTCAATGATCTGCTGAGAGACCAAGGGAAGTCTGAAAAGCCCTGTGTGCAGCAACACCCACCGGCAGCAGGAACAGCACTAGCTGAGGGCAGCTATTCTGGTGTGTTCTTTCTCCCCATGTCAGCTGCTTGGGCTTACATGCAGAGTAGGGGTGCCCAAAAGAATGGTGAGAGCTGGATGAGGAGCAAAACGGAGGTGACTTTGTATTAAAGCACAATAAACTGAGGTTGCTTCCAGGAATTAAGCAGCTCTTTCTAGCTCCCACCGCACGTAGCTCCCACTGTTGAAATACCTCAGTGCTTTGCTGCTTTTAGTACTCTTGGGACATGGGGAAAAATGGTGAGGCTGCACCTCAGTGATGAGCTCAGCATTGGGCCCTTCACTGCCCCTCACCCTTAGGTGAAAGTATAAGGACTGGGTTGGTACTGAGCAGACAGGAGCCATGCAGCAGAGCTTACTTGCTGCAAGGATGTGTGAAGGCTGGAGGGAGTGATGGTGATCTCCTGGAGATGCCTTCACTCCTCTGCACCAAGTCAATTCAATGTACTCAAATAGGTACCACTGCCCCATCCTGTAATGGAATTAACCTCTCAGTGCATCCTTTTGAGAGGAGTTTGCTCAGCTTGTATGCAATGGAGGCAGAAAGACACCTCCAAATTAGGAAGTATGTCTGCTGCTAAGCCTGATGTGATACAGATGCTTGGTACCCAAAGGAGGCGCCATTCTGCAGTGCTTGCTCAGGTTGCCCAGCAAGTCAGAATATGGATTTCAACCTACCTCTCCCATAGTCTGTGCCAGGGCTTTTGAAGCCTCAGTTCTTTCAGCTCCTGTAGTCTGCTGTTGGCATGCAAACTTGGACTTGCCTGGTTACAATTCCTCACATTGTTTGCAATGTCTTGGCCAAAGGAAATGAAAGCAGCCTTTGCACGATTGCAATGCAAAAGCACGGACTGGCTGGGGGAACTGGGAAAGGCATCAGGAACTGTAGGGACTAAGATTTATTAGCCTTAAAAAGAGGAATATGAGAGATGCCACAAGTGGGCAAAAGATGGAAAATAAGGAATATTTTGTCACTCTCAGAGTGCACGAACTAGAGGGTAATTAATTAAATCATCAAGTGGAAAACTCTGAACATAGAATCATAGAATCATAGCATCATAGAATCATAGCATCATAGAATCATAGAATTGCTCAGGTTGGAAAAGGCCTTAAAAATCATCAAGTCCAACCAAATCCAATATGTTGAAGAAGTTTCCTTCTATGTTATCAGTTGGTGAAACCCATTGCCACAGGATGTTTTTACACTGAAATTTTACACTCGCTCAGGAAAGCAAGCAGAAAAGGTTAAGAAAGAAGAATACAGTAGAGCAAGTTAACACAACAGTGCCATTTCTAGCTCAAGAAAACCACGAGCTACAAACACTGGGGGGAATAAACACTGGCTGCATCAACATCTGCTTGCATTCTCTCCTGGTCTTGAAATGCTGGATTGGAAATATTTTTCATCTGAACCAAAATAACTGTTGTTAGTATCTTAAAGGCTGAGTTAACGAAGGGCCCACGGTACCCTCACTGCAAAATGGAAGA